ATGTTATTAATTGAAAACAACATGAAATTACTGTCGACTCATTTTAATCAACAATTGTTTTCAGTTAAAGAATTGTAAAACATGAGTTGTAAATTATAAATGAAATTTATCAGTTTCATGATCTGGCATTGTATGAATTTCGTTAAAAAATGTAAACGTAGAGATATCCTGTCAAATCAACGATACATAATTGTTAATTTGCGAAATTCACTGACGTTATAATTTTTTTAATTAACGCACTTCGAACTCTGTTCTCTTATTACATCGACATGGAATGAACCAGCTTATCTGCTGGATTGTTCTTATCACTCAACGTTACGTATTTAGTAACTTAAAAAATTTAAAAAAACATACAGCGTGTCCCAGCTAAGATTTACTGAATTAAAAGGCTGCTGGGACACCCTATGCATTCTGGACCAATTCCAACATGTCAACGTCCTGCCAACACGCGTGCATACCAGGTGATAGGCGAAAAGCCAATCACACCACGAGAAAGACGATCATTGTGCGACATACGTAGTGCATGGTGGTACTCTTGCAGGTGATTTGAGGCAGGACTACCTACGGTCGTGGTCAGTGTTGCGTACGACCTTATAGGAAGGTCGTTACACTCGTGTTCATTGCAAATAAGCGAATTCATCTTTAAAATACGATGACTTTCTTTTCATACAAAAAAAAGTAACGTTATTCTATAATTCTGATTGTTTAYAATGACAATAGTATTGTTTACTTCTTGCTCGTTGAGTATTTAAATGATTTGATGGTAACGGTTAAGACTATCTAACTATAGATTTAATCTGATCGTAGTTTACCAGATGGAGTGTTCAAACTTATAAGCATATAAAGGATTCAGAGGCGTATTTTGACCCTCGTCAAAAATATCATCGTCATTATTCGTGGTAAAGGCACAAATAGACGGTTTCGTAAACAAATTCATTTTRCGAGGAATAATTATTTTYYAGATCATGTATGATTTTTCAAAACGGTTAATTATATCTTAGAAAGATTATTTTGTGACTTTCACTGTTTAAATTATTAGCATAACTAATTACGTCATTGACGTTTAATAATTTCATCAATTTAAATTTACATTCGTTAAGGTTGTTTTGCAAAAGTGGACGCTTTTTGGTTAAAATGTTTTCTCACATAATTGGATACAGGATAAATCTCAACTCTATACTAGTTTCGCCTAACAGATAAAGTTGCTGCGCAGAATGTTCTGCGACAAAGTCTGCTTTACGCTGTAGCATGAAATACAGTAACCAACAATTTACTAAAAAATGAGTTTTTTATACATTTTGATTTATTTTCATGCTTACATTCATTATTTCTTTGAAATTAATGAAAAAAATTGTTTTGTCAGAAAGCGCAGTGAAAAACAATCTTAGAAACGATTGATTGTATTCTATTTTTTAAGTAGAAATAACTCAAATAAGTGTAACTTTTTTATTTTTTAATTAATTTACATATCAATATAAACAAGAACTCTTAATCGAACTTTAAGTTGTTAGTTTGTATCTGRCATATCTCTGTTCTGGATTAAATCAGCAAAATGGTCGTTTTTTAGAATTGAAAGAGTTGAAGATAATAAAGTTGCTTTCTCAATTGAAAAAAAAATATTACTTAACATGTTTCGGCAATAAACTGCAATCATCAGCATAATTTTAAATTACGAGTATTACAAAAAATATGTCAAAGAAGCAGAGGCTAACAATTGACAGATATTATATTCCATGTTTAATGGCAATGTTCTAACTTTATTTTGAAATAAAAATATAAACATTAACCAAAAAAATTAAGTTTTTTTCGAAAAATTAAAGTTACACCTAGTGAAGGTGAACCTAGGTTTCTGAAACTTATCGCCATTAAGGAATTTATTTCAAATGTTTTTGGTTTCAAGCAGAAATCAAAAATTTGGGAACTCAATTCAATTTCTCGAGTTAAGATTTTGGGCTAATTGATTCACTGATTAAAAGATATTTTTGTGAAAAATTAGTAGTGTCAAATTTGGTGAATAACTGACAAACGTTTTCTATTTGAAATCAATATTTTCAGAATTTTTTTTGTTAAATTGAGAAACTAGAGTAAACAATTTTTTTGTATAGAGAAAAATTGACTAAATTTGGAAATTTTTGCAGAGTAATTGTAAAATACGCGACATTATCTCAATCCATAAATCTTGAAGGTGCTATGAGCTATGGCGTTTGTGAAAATAGTGTATAATAAGAGAGAAAATCGTTATGAAAATTATATGTCGAAAAAGGCAATTTTGATAAAATTTGGTGATATTTCGTCTTGTTTCTCACTTAGAAAAAATCCATTTCTCGAAACAGCTTAAAATAGCATCAATTTTAAAATAATTTGACTCTTTTTTGACTTGTTTTCTTAAAATTACAGAAATAAGAGAGTTATTTCGGAGGAAATCGCTCGAAGCAGACAAAAATAATTTTGATCAAATTTGATGATTTTTTATCTATCGATTTTTCTGAAAAAACTAAAATACCGCCAAAGTAAATTTCTCCCTCAAAAACAAGCTAAATCCTTCAAAATAGCGTTAACTTCAAAATATATAATTTGGTCGTTTTATGAATTGAAACTAAGCGTTAAAAAAAACTGGGTACATTGCTCCAAAATGACTCCAATTTTGATAAAATTTAATTTATGAGTTTCTCACTCAAAAAACCTAAATTTTTCGAGCTTAAACTAGCCCAAAACAGCTTCGATTTTAAAATATTTTGGTTATTTTTGACTTATCTCGATGAAATTACAAGAAAATGATAAAGTTTTTTATTCAAAAAAGCCTTTATCTGTACTATTATTATTAATTAATTGTTTTTGTATTGAAAACTGTTTGAAATTGTATTTACTTTATTTTAATTTTAGAGATGAGAGGTATTTGTAAAAATTAAACTAATGAACACTGCATCTGGCACTAATTTTTTTTATTATGTTTTAGAAACACCCACGTCTTAAATTGCTTTTAAAAAACGATATTTTTAAGTTAAATAATATGTGTATAGAGCTTATTATTACTTATTGATTATTAAATTATTAATCTTCTATTTTTTTAAAAGCAAAGTATTAAATTATAAAGTAGGAAAATCTTGGTTCGTTGAATTCTAGTTCTAACGGGGTTCTACCGTATTAATTAGCCTTTAAAATTGCTGTATTAGGAGTCATTTATTATTTTGGCTCGCATAGCTGAAGAATAAGTTAAATTAGCGAGTCTCTGGGCTTATTTCAACATCTTTCGAGCTTTAATAATCAACTTTTGCTTCACTCTGTAGGTGAAGAGAGATTTAATTTGATTTTACTTTGACCTTTAGTTAATGGAATAATATTGAGACGCATGTATTTTTTTTTTCAGCGTACGGTAAAGTATTCCTAGTGCGAAAACGTGGCGGAGCCGACAACAATCGTCTCTACGCTATGAAAGTACTGAAAAAAGCAACAATAGTGCAGAAGAAGAAGACAACGGAACACACGAAGACAGAYCGACAAGTCTTAGAAGCCGTCCGAGACAATCCGTTTTTAGTTACATTACACTACGCCTTCCAAACGGATGCCAAATTACACCTAATCCTCGGTAGGTAAACGTTTTCTTGGTATGTCCAGAGGTGGTCACCACGTGTGTCTAAAACTTAATTAACATTTGGCGTAACTGTAAAACAGTTTCGTTGTGTGGGCAAAGAACTACTTCGGAAATTATTCATTTAGCAGTGCTTTCGTTCCATTGGAAATGACCCCGTGAGTCATTCCTGGTGCAATAACTTGAGGCCGGCGTATTGAAATTATTTTTTTTTTGGGTCTTCTCAACTGACTCATATTCAGGCGTCATTGGATGGTTTCAGTGGAATTTTCAGGCCCTATCTGGATGAAGATGTTAGGTATCCGGTGCCAAAGCGCAGCTGGAACAGAGTCGATCACATTCATGTATTATTATAGTCGTTTGAGTAAACAGTTGGTCAACCTAAATAACTTAGTGACTTTCGATTCTTTARACTATTGTGTGACCTGAAAAAWTGCTATGATACACTGTTTACGCGTTAACAATTATAATTTGCACGTTTTTACTTGAAATTATGATGGAAAATACTGGCAACATTGTGTTTAAAATAAGTTATTTCGAGTATGCCCATCTGAAAGCAAGGTCACACGGTTTCAGGTAAACGAACTAATTTTTGTGGATTTTTGCCAAGGGTTTTCATCCGTCTAACATTTGTTCATTTTTTTAATAATTCGATTTTTATGGGCAACAAGGTACCCAAATTAGTAGTCTCAAGGTAATACCACCACAAAGTCAAGTAAACATTATCTAGTGAAAGTGAGTGAGATAAACACTTTCATATTTTATATACTTTCTCTTTTCTAAAACTGGCGACATTTAAGCCTAAGAAAAACAACTGCTTTATCTTTGTGTATTTAATTAAAAAATCAAAAATAATATTTACCTTGGAAAAATTGAGACGCATACGAGGTGTAACTAGAAAATTTTCTTACCAGACAATAAATTTACTCAAATTTAGTGAGCAGTTAACCACTACTTAAAGCGGTGTACCTAATAATAAATAAACGATAATAATGTAAATTTGTTTTGTACTTTAGTGTGTAAAATGTGTATACCTATCTACATTTATGATAGCACACAGACTGATAATGGTACTACGATTTATTTTCAATTGGGAACAAATTAAATGCACAGTAAAAATAAAAAATCTGGTGTGAATATAATATAAAATTAATAAGATATTTTAAATAATTTTTATCTCCATAAATTTATTGTATCTTCAACCGTATAATTTTGCAGCCGAACGGTGCGACCGATTTTTACCAATTGTTTCGTGCTGCGTCCCCTACCTACAAGTAACTTACATACCAAAAWTCAAGTATCTAGCTCTTATCGTTCTGGAGATATATTAAAGTAAAATTGACAGTAAAGACAATGAATGAATGTCTAGCAAAACTAATTAATTTAATATTCACACATTTACAAACAAAATGTTTCCGAGCAAAATCGGAATATCGCAAAGCATTGAAAAACAAAATTGTGGCATCAGGAGCACAGCAGTGCAAAGACTGATTACCATTTGTGCACAGTTTCCAGCCTTTGCTAAAATCATTCTTGCGCAGGGGCCCTTGCTAATACATATACCACCCTCCAATAATAATAAATATTCAGTAATATAAAAATAAATACCAATAATAAATAACATTGTAATAAATACATTGTTATGTAATCAAGACTGAAAATTCTTTAAATTTTATGTTGATTTACTAATTTTGATTAAAGTTACTGAGCGTTTATTATTTTTACTGTGCAAATTGGATTTTTTTACTGAACAAACTACAATAAAATACTGTGCTGCTTTACTTAGCATTTATTATTTTTACTGGTCAAAATATTATATTATAACTAATCATTTTTAATTTTTTACAAAAATTAATTAAATACTGATCATTTATCATTATACTGATCAATATTGAATTATTTACTGATCGCTTTATTCAATTACATATTCAAATCAGACGTATTTTAATTTGTAAATGTGGTCTCACATGCATCGTAATTATGATATTTTAGCAGGTCTACCACACGCAGAGAATTTTGTGTGTCATTTTAATAAGTAAATCAAGGTTACAAGGCCTTCAAAACCAAAAAATTAATGTGTGTTATGATTGGTGAAAAATTTGAGCAATATTAAAAATTCGTGATAACACGTTTATTTACTAGTAGTGGCTTTTGTTTGTACTTCTTAAGTTTCATAACGCTTGATTGTGTCGAGTTGCTTGTATACAAGGAGGGATAGGTTTTATTTAAATAACTAAAAGTAAACWAACRGTAATTTATAACTGAAATTAAACAGTCGCTACTTGCTTTTTAAACACGCCTTGTAAATTATGATACACTTGTAAAATGTCAACAAGAAATTCAAGAGATTGGTTTGTCAACAAATATTTCGATTTTAAGTGGAACATAATACTTGTCGTTTAATTACAAGAGAAAGTGATTGTTTCATAATTTAACCCAACATGTAACTAAAATTTCTGTTACGTTGTTTGTGTATTGACGTTGTTGTTTAGCAAAATTCCAATTAAAAAGCAACAATGTCACAAATACTGCGTCAGCAGATGTATTTTTAAGTRGATGAGCTTTTGCTACAACTTAGGTGTTTATTTACTGTAGAATTAAAAGATTCTGTTTTTTTTCCAGACTATGTGGCCGGAGGAGAATTATTCACACATTTATACCAAAGAGAGCATTTCACAGAAGACGAAGTCCGCATTTACATAGGGGAAATTATTTTAGCACTCGAACGCCTCCACAGTGTATGTATCCTGCGATGAAATTTTTTTTAGTTGTTTATGTTGAACTTGTGGGTAAATATTTTCCTGCAGACTCATACAAAGCAACAATTTTCATTATTTGTTGTTTAAAACGCTTAATTTTGTCCGAACGCAAGTTGTTATAAATAGAACGTCCTTCACAATAAAAGTAATACAGCAATCAAAGGTTGTTCACAAATAGAACAAAGAGTTTTTCGGTGCATTTACTGGATTTCGCTTTGTGTTTGAACTTTGGCTATTCGAGACATTTATTACAATTATTATCGTTTTAATTTATTCCGTGTGTCGTCTGTATTCTACAGTTTACCAACTTGAATTTTAACTACTGTCTATTAGGTCAAACAATCATTTATTCATTATTATCTACCACACTGTCGCATAATAGATTATTCCATGAATTCAACGAAATAATGGCGGTAATTAATTTATCGAATTTGGGGTCTAAGGCGGTTCGGTTTAATATTTAATTGGCTTAGGGTAGTTYCACAGTTTTCGAAAATTATTAAGCGATTTTTTAGGAGATTAGTTTATTATTTTATTAAAGGCGATAATATTCTTATTGCTTTTTCTTTTCGAATTTTCGTTGTTATCAAATTGGTTAGACCTTTATAAGAGAAAATACCAAACTGATACGACAATGGTAAACAAACATGTTGTTCGTTCTTATTACAATTCCACAAACCAAGGTCGTCTTGTGAATTCCCAAACCTGTGGAGAATTTCATGGAATTGTTGCTACTGTCAAAATATTCAAATGGTGAAATCGTACTTTCACTGATTATAGATTTGTGTTTTTTTTGTTGGAAGTAAAAATAGTCAATTATTTAGTGAGTGTGACTTTCAATCGGACATTTTTAATTTCTAAATTGCATATAAATCTAAAGTCTCGACTGTAAAATTATATCATCGGTTAATAGGCAATTTCTTTAAATGATTTTATTGATCTGGATTAAGTCATAAAGTTCATTTAGTTTTAATCTAAAAAGTGCACGCTTGGAACTTGAATTGATTAAATTTAAGAATTGACAAGTGTAGTATCATATCAAAGGTTATAATCTGATTTTTAAGTGCCGTTTTAATCCTGCAAAACGATTAAAAAAGACCTTGAGCGTGTGCCAGTGTTAAAATAACATTACACTCTTAATAAAAATTGAATTGTGCAAAATCGGATGTGTTACAAAATAAGGAAAACCTGGTTTTAAATGTAAATAAATTACAAACGATGCGCTTTGTCGTGTTGTCATTTGTTTTAAAGTTGTTGCTTCACATTTTAAATTTTAATTGCGGTAATTCACGACACGTGTAAACCAATTTCTGATCTTATTATAGGAAAGGTATTAGAATTACGGTTTCAGTTTTCAATTTTTGTCAGCGTAGAATTACACGCTTTGTGCTTCAACCCCTACTGCGGAGATACGAGGCATGGGGCTGACTACTTGGGTCGTTAACCCTTTAAAAATGTCGGTTTATTGTTTGGCCAAAATATTTATTATAATATTTCTACCTGTTATTGTTTTATTAACAAGCATATGTTCGGTGCGTGTCATTTGATCGAAAATTGTTTCCTTATCGGTTTTTCCGATAAAAATTAAATGGTGTTCACAACTTGTGATGCAAATGTTGATTTTTACARTGAAAAACATGATTTAAACAAAATTTTGTTTGTCGAAACGATTTATCATTATCATAGGTAATGTACGGTTTTAATGATAACAAATTAAGGAATTATTAGAACCATGTCGTTGACCTCGTTATTATGAACTAAGTATATCACATACTAGACACACGTGTTGTGCCTTTTATTGTCCGGACGAACTAAACATTCTTGGGTTTAGTGGAACTTTAATGCTGAGTTATCTCAAACCGCTCATGGAATATTTTATTGACCTTAAAAATACAATATTGAAATGTTACAGAGGCATAAAATCAAAAGGAGTGTTTTTTATGTGTAAAAAAATTGTTGAATTTTACAATTTTATCTGCTACCCTTGAATTAAGATTTGTTGCAAAATGATAAGATAAGAAGAGTCATTATTTTAAACAAATGGGCTTAAGTGGGTTTTAAGAAAATAACTAAATTGTTTCACATTCCTGAAAATTATAAGCTAAGATTTTTTTCTGGATAGTGTTTACATACACTAAAAATTATCAAATAAAAAATATTTTTTCCAATTTGGTTGTGAAAAAAAAATTATCACTAGTTACACAATATGACATTATTTTATCACTAGTGTTAAAAAGATGACATGAAGAATAAATAACAATATTTTTATAGCAACACCCCGACACTAGTATGATTTTGGAAAATTATTGAAATCACAGATTTAAAATTCGAATTCACAACCAAATTGGAAAAAATCTTGTATGAAATACGATGCAAAATCGCGTTTTTTTTGCACACTCGTGGTCCAATCTTCACGTCTCATTTTGCAATTTGTTGCATAAATAGCACAAAATACACAATTCTCCACTTGATTTAAATTTATGCACTTTTTGATTTTTGAGAGTAATGACATTTTTTTGAGAAACTTAAATTTTTTAGCCTTTTCGGTAGATCATTTAATTGTTGATATGACAGCACCAAAATATTAAATATTACATAACAAAATTTTCGAAGAAAAGTCATTCAAAAAGTGTAAAATCATTAATCAAGTTGAAAGAATTGTGTAATTTTTTCGAACATTTTTGCCAAAACAAAATATTTTCAATTTTCATTAGATTATTCCATAATTTTGTTGCTCACTGTATATTTAATTTCGTCTAAAAAAATAGAGACTATACCCGATGTCACAGAAATAAATGTATTATGTAAATAATGTATGTAATGTTTTSTTACTGTATGTATAACAATTCACCTATTTCGTTAACACTATTTGTTTTTTRTATCAAAATTTGAATTTTTTTTWATTACTCAATTCTTCACTTGATTTAAATTTTTACACAATTTGTTTTTCGAGTAATGGCGACATTTTTTTAAATGAAACTTCTATTTTGTTAGCTCTTTTGTTAGATCATTTAATTGATGAAATGAGAACACCAAAATATTAAATATTACATAATAAAGTTTTCGAAAAGAAAATCATTCAAAAAGTGTAAAATTTTAAATCAAGTTGAGAGAATTGTGTATGTTTTGCCAAACTAAATATTTTCAATTTTGCTGCTCACTGTATATCTAATTTCGTCCAAAAAAATGGAGACTATACACGATGTCACAGAAATAAATGTATTATGTAAATAATGTATTGCAGCTTCTGAAAAGTTCTGTTACTGCCTGTATAACAATTCACCTAATTCTGTAACACTATTTGTTTTTCTAGCAAAATTTTAAAACACTTTCGTGGCACTTTGAAGTCTTTTATTTACTGTCACTAGTGGAAAAAATTCCTTCTTGAATTAACAGCTCGAAAATATACTTTTTTTTATTTTTAAAGTCTACATATAGCCTTAAAAATTGGCGTTTTCACAAAACATATGCGGGAAAGTTTCTAATATTAAGCAAATCGATGAAAATATCAATAGAATTCCTTTTCAGGAACAAACCGTTATTTTCTATTGCAAACTTTCAGTTGTTTCGTTTCATTATTGGTTAAATTAGTTATTTGCTTAAGTATTTACAGTTCCCATCCAAACTTAAGATTAATTATTGCATTAACGTTCCAGTTTACTTTTAAATTTAAYCGTCTGCATTAAGAGCGGTACATTATTCTGGTCACCGAAACCACAGCTGTTACAATATGGTATATACAAGGTGTTTAACGCATCCTAATATAAAAGCTAAAGTCGCTTGATTACCTGTTGAGTCTGTTACAACACCTGGTCGTCTAGTCGTGATGCACAATGTTGTAGTAAACTAGGGTACATTTCAGGCTGATGTCGACTTATAAATATTATTTCTTGTTTCAGTTGGGTATCATATACAGGGATATCAAACTAGAGAATATCTTAGTAGACGAATCGGGACACATCGTCCTTACAGATTTCGGATTGAGCAAAGAACTACCTAGGGAAGGTGACAATGATCAAAGAGCGTACTCATTTTGTGGCACAATCGAGTATATGGCACCCGAAGTGGTCAAAGGAGGGACCCAAGGACACGATATTGTAAGTATCAACCAAAGAAACTTGATAAGGAATTGTAAAAAAATTCCTTTATCAGTTTTTGTTTAATCTACGGATCCTAAAAACTAGGATACGACACAATGTAAAACAAAACGTCTCCGTTAGTGAGGCCAAATAGCGCAGTTGTTTCTTTCCCGTTAAGTTTTAAGAGCAGTGAAATAAAAAAAAATGGCTGTATCTAAAAAAATAGAGCATTAAATTCTAAATAATAAGAGATTAAAGGCAATGCAAAAATTTTATTGAAAACTATAATTACTCATATTTTTAAAAATGGTGCGAATACGGTTAAAGGTACAAGAAAAAAATATATATAAAAAACAAAGTTGTACAGAATAAAATTTTCAAAAAAAAAGTCCACGAAAGATACCTCTATCTCCAATGGTTTAGGTCCTAAAGAGGTTCAAAAACGCTCAAGTGACGTATAATAATACGTGTCATTTTTACGTGGTCAAGAGATAGAAAATTAATTTAAACCTAAACGGTTGAAGATAGAGATATGGTCTCAAAGATTTTTTTGTAGGAAATTTAATTCTCTACAATTTTGTTCCCTACACTTTTTTTGTATCTTCAATCGTATTCGCAGCGTTCTCAAAAATATTGAAGATAGTACTAAAAATAAATTATACAATTATCAGTTTGCGTTCCGCACAATATTTTTGAGAACGCTGCGAATACGGTTAAAGATACAAAAAAAGTGTAACGAACAAAGTTGTAGAAAATAAAATTTACTACAAAAAAGACGAGACTATATTTCTATCTTCAACGGTTTAGGTTTAAATTGCTTTAAAGTGTTCCTCTGGCACAGAATCACCAGCAAAAAGGCAACGAATCCGTCGCTTAAGCGACTTTGAACGTCTTTGAGGCCTAAACCATTAAAGTTAGAGGTATGGCCTCGCGGACTTTTTACTAGAAAATTTAATTTTCTACAACTTTTTTTCTTACATTTTTCTTGTATCTTCAACGGTATTCGCAGAATTTTGAAAAACATGAAACGGAGCACAGATTTTAAATCAATTTTTTTTTCTCATATTTCTCGTGAAAAAATTAGTCATTCGTTTTTCACAGCTTATTAAGAATGTAAAACTCGACATTTTTATATTTTTTCCAAGTAATTAGACTGGTTGAATTTGAATTAATTTAAAACGATTTGAAACTGAGACGGTAAAACGTTCTAAGCGCCCTCATTTTTCCTCCGCCTTACTACTCTTGGGTCCAAAAAATCGAGAAATTTTGTATCTCGGTTCGTCTTTTAGTATACAGGGTGCGCTAGAACTCGCGCCCCATAGAGAAAAATGCCATAAAAAGTAAGATACCAGGAACATGGAAAAAATGTAAAAAAAATTCTGTTGGAAAAATAATTTTCCATTTTTTTTGCTACAGTCTATTAGAAGAGGATACAAGGAAGCTGTATTCTAAATTGGAACTTTGTTTAAAGTTATTTGTGGCTTCTATTGGCAAAATTTTTGTACTTTTACTAAATAATTATAAAAAAAAACATATACAAGATCATCAGTATCATTAAATAGACATGAAAAATGTCAAAAGATAAATGTCAAATTTTTTTTTGAATTTTTTTTATGTACCTGGTATCTTTTCTTTCTTAAAATTTTTCTGTTATTTTTCGATCAATTTTGGGCAAAATTTTGTAAAACAAGAACGTTTTTAAAGAAATTATTTTATAGAGAATAATTATTTTTTATACTGAAAGTTTGATAAAAACGCAAATTTTAACCAAAAGAGTAATTTTTTTATTAGAAAATATCAAAAATATTGTCATTTGCGACCCAGAGTAATTTTTCTAGCTAATTTTTGCAAAATTGCACAAAAAGTAAATTTTGATAAAGAGTATAATTTTCCAAGATTTTTTTTTCTACAAGCTATTAGAAATTTTAACTTTTTAATGTTATTTGTGGCTTTTATTGGCAAAATTTTTGTACCTTTACTAGATACTTATAAAAAAAACATATACAAGATCACCAGTATCAATAAATAGACGTAAAAAATGTCAAATGTCATAAATAAATGTCAAGATAAAATTAATAAAAAAATAAATTAAAATAAATTTTTTTCCATGTTCCTGGTATCTTGTCTTACTTGAAATTTTTGTCTGGGGCACGAGTTCAGACCCCCCCCCCCTGTATAGTTTAATCAATGGTGGTGCCAAGTAGCAATATTTGTCCATAATTTGGCATTTATAATTATGTCAGGTTGTGTTATACGATATTGCCTGGAAGCCGCGTGCGTGACTGCTTTTTGCCCTTGGGCAAAGTTGACCCGATTCTATGTCCAATGAAAACTGGGTTAGATTTTAGCAAAAGATTTGTTGCACTATCTGTCTCGGTCAAATTCACTCTCGCTCGAAGGTTTTGCCAACCATCTGCACTGTTTATGTAAAATATTGAACATTGACCTCTGCGTGTTCATAAAGAGGAGTCTGTCCGTGTTTTACATACATTTCTATCATTGGATTTAATAATATTAATGAGTCACGAATACTTGTGATGACAAAATTCGCCACCSAGTGATTGTAAAGCCACCTGGTCTTTTCTGATTATTTTCCAGACTGTACAAAGAAGTATTCCTCGCAGGTAAACAGCTGTGTGCTACTGGTCTTGTATGCAACCGAATTGATTTTTTAAACACYAAGTTTATTAGTCATGGAAAGTATGGATTTTTGCTTCAATTTTAATTAATTTCAATTGGRKATTTAAGTTAATATGGAACCCATATGAACAAGTCGGTTACCTACAAACCTAGTTAGATAATGGAGGTTTTCTATAGGTGCAGTGGATAAACAAATTAATGTCCTAGCAAGATGAGTAACCAACAACTATTTGAATAATAATCGAAATGACCTTTCAACTAACTTTGAACAAATTCCTAGACAAGGTTTGTTATTATTCCACATTTTTGACCTACAACTAAGACAAACCTACGCTGAGGTAAAGTGTAATTGCTGCATAACTCATAATTGATAAAAATAAACTCGCAAAATGCAACACATATTTTGCTCATTAGACATTGTCTGTTTATATGAAAATATCAAGGACGGTATTAATGAAAATGTAAATATTTTTGGACGATAAACTAAAAAAGTGCACCAAGGACGTTTCAACAAGCGATGTTTTATAAATTAAACTAATTAATATAGTAATAATTAAGTCGATGTAACTATTACCAAAAAAATAAACGAGTTGTCGAGGTTTCGGGATATAAAATATTGCTTTTTTATCTATTGTTTTATTTGAAAATTATTAAGTGTACACAAAAATTTAAAATTGCATATGTAGATATATGTAATTTTATTCACTAATTTTTGGAATGACACAAAAAAAATCTTTTATTGTGTGTTTTTGTGGAAACAAACTGAAAACACGTGCATACTGCAGAAATTAATCCAATGCGCATTGCGGGAATTTCAACAAAGTTTGTCTTTTGGAGATTTACAACTGAGCTAAATCGAAAATCTGTTCAACTTAACGAGGAATTCGATCTAAAGTCGATGCTCGGGACCCGCCAATCACGGTCAACTTATCGAAATTTCGAGATATAGAGGTCCGATTCATCGAGGTTTCACTGTAGTAATTTAATATCATTTTCAAATGCATAACACATTGTTTTAAGCTGTTCATTCAACAGAATTTTACGTTTCACAGTAGTTGTAATTTATTTTTCTGTGTTGTTTGCTAGGCTACTAAAATATGTTCTTACCAAAAAAAATCAACATTTTTTCATATTCAAGATCCACCGATGTTTACGTAAAATTTATGTGACAGAAATCTAGAGAATTGTTTATGTTACAACACTTTTTGTAGAATGTGTTTAAAATTCAATTGATTCAAGCAGTGAATTTTAGAAATATAAAAATCGGTGTTCCAACGGATGTCCAAAGTGCAGTTTTTTCATAGAAAAATGCGGAATTTTTAAAGTGTAGGTACACTAAATGGTTAGAAATTTTTAAAAAATGTCTACTACAAGAAATTCCAATTTCCTTTTGCAACATCCTGTGCGTTATCGTGGTCCTTGAAGCACCACCAAATTACTAGCAGTGTGCATTCCAGCCACGCAAAACATCATCGGATGTATAAATCAATGATTATTTGGAGCCTTCGGCTAGACACCTCGTTCTTGTGAGAAACGAGAGTAAATTCACTACAGCTCAAAGTGTTACGACAGTTAATCGAGAAATTCCTTTCATAATAACTCTTAGCTGTATCGAGGCAGGTTCAGGAAGTGAGCAAAAGAACAGTTACTGCGAACGTGGGATCACATTTGGAATTTTTAATTGTTGAAATGAAAATCGGCTTGTACAGAGTGCGCCAGAACTCGCACCCCAGAGAAATAAGATACCAGAAATTTGGAAAAAATTATATCTATTTCCAAGTTATGAGAGTTTCAATTCTGCGCTTTGAATGTTATTTGTGGCTTTTATTGGCAAAAGTTTTGTACCTTTACCAAGTAATTATAAAAAAAAAAACATACAGGGTGACCCAGCGAGTTGAGAAAGTCGATTAGTGACCTTTAAATGGTGAGATTTTTAAATTTTTGTACCTTTACTAAARAATTGTAAAAAACATACAAAATCATCAGTATCATTAAATAGACATAGGAAAATGTCAAATGTCAAAGGTTTTTGACAGATAGAATTTTTTAAACATTTTTTCCATGTWCCTGGTTTCTTATCTTACTTGAAATTTTTCTGGGGAGCGAGTTCTGACGCACCTGTATATATTTTTTTATTTTTACCATTTAAAGGTCACTAATGGACTTTTTCAACTCACTGGGACACCCTGTATACGAGATCATCAGTATTATCGAATTTTTCACACATAGAATTTTTTAAACATCTTTTTTGAGTAATTCCATGCCAAAACGATCACTTTTAAAACTCATTGTTTCTGATTTTCGTAAATTTGAGATATGTTTGGAAATTTTTGTTTTCTTTGGAACAGTTTATTAGTGACGGTAATTGGTAATTTTTCTATTTAATTTCCAAGGAAACGAAAAAAAATATGAGTTTTTKCATAAATTTTTTGAGAATTTTAAAAACCTGCATAATTGTTATTTTTTTTGTTTAAATAATATATTTTTAAATTATTTGTTAATAATAAATTTGTAGAATACATGTATTATCACGTCCGTAATGTACCTATTTATATCTACTATTTAAAAAAAAAAATCGTCACAATATGTTGATTTGTTCTTTAGATAAAAATTCTTTTGGTTACGAGAGTTTTTCAACATACATTGAAAAAGTAAAAAACGGTGAAATACGCGTCACTTATTTTTACACGTTTTATAAAATATCTCAAATTTACTAAAATCAGAAACAATGAGTTTTAAAAGTGATAGTTTTGGCATGGAGTTACTCTTTTATGTTCCTTATCTTACTTGAAATTTTTCTTTGGGGCGCGATTTCTGACACACRCTGTATTTTCAACGGAAACTATCAAAATAACAAAGAAGTGTCTATGAAAAAGGAASTTAAAAGGTGACGGATTTCAAAATATTGGCAATAATGGTGTAACTAGTCGAGTAATGATTGTAAATACTGCGGAGCACTATATCCTACTTTCACTGTTAACAGTGCTCAATGTTCCTTCTTCGTTTCTCAAGTGTCCGTTTCTCTATCGTTGTCCCACTTGGCTGACTCCGAATCTGACCCACTTCTGTCGTTTAACAGTGTACTTACCGGTCGCAATCGACTGGATTTTTTTTGAATCATTTTGTTAACTGTTCATTCTGGTGTACAGTTAGTCAGGTAGACTTTGGGGCACACTGATGATTATACACTGTTATGTGCAGAGTTGCACGCGCGAATACCAGTCTCAAGGATCGAAGAAAATGTTTATTTACAGTTGAGCGATAAATAGAAAGCATGGATAAAAATAATTCACACCACATGCCAGCGGTCTGTTAATCTAAAAATAAATTAGCACTATCAAAATTGATATTTTGAATATTTCGGACACTTGGAATTTATTCTCATTCTCCTAATAAAAGTAGGAGTCGCGAGACCTAGTTTCTTTTTATGAATGCAAACGCAGTAAATTGTTACATTGTGGAACAAAAACGCTATATTATATGAAATTTAAATAAATTATTATACTAATCATGAACTACTTTAAAAAGAGCGAGAGAGAGAGCACATTTTATTATACAGGCTGCGCCAGAACTCGCGCCCCAGAGAAAATTTTCAAGTAAGGTAAGATACCAGAAACAAAAAAAAAAATGACATAATTTTAGTTATTTTGTGCATATAAACGCTCTTTTTAGTTAAAAAATTAACTTTTTAAAAAGATTTTTTTTNGTTAAAATTTGCGTTTTTATCAAACTTTCAGTATAAAAAATAATTATTCTCTATAAAATTATTTCTTTAAAAACTTTTTTGTTTTACAAAATTTTGCCCAAAATTGATCGAAAAATAACATACAGAGAAGAATTTTAAGAAAGATAAGATACCAAGAACATGAAAAAAATGTTTAAAAAATTCTATCTCTCAAATATTTTTGACATTTAACATTTTTCATGTCTATTTAATGATACTGATGATCTTGTATATGTTTTGTTTTTATAATTATTTAGTAAAAGTAAAAAAAAATTTGCCAATAGAAGCCACAAATAACTTTAAACAAAGTTCCAATTTAGAATACAGATTCCTTGTATCCTCTTCTAATAGACTATAGCAAAGAAAAGTGGAAAATTATTTTTCCAATAGAAATAAATAGAGTCAAAGTGCAAACTTTAAACCCTTATAACTTCGAAATTTTTTAACATTTTTTTCCATGTTCCTCGTATCTTACCTTATTAGCATTTTTCTCTGGGGCGCGAGTTCTGGCGCAGCCTGTATATTAGAAATTCTTTGCTGTGTATTGAGTTTCGCAATAGAGGAAAAAGTGTCCTTTACGGAAAAAGTTATTGTGGCCCCTCCGTCGTGGTATTTCAATTTGTGTGCTGCTGTGAAATAACTAGTGTGCAAAACATTTGCAATCCTGCAATAATCTGGGTCAGAAAAGTGTGTCAGCGATTGATAGCATAGCATAGCATAGCATAGCAGCGCCCGAATCATATTGTACGCAATGTTTATTGTACCTGTTCGTTACAACACAATGAAATTGTCTAACGATCTTTGCGTTCAACTTTTATTAATTCTAGTACTCCACTTTAGGCGCCATATTTTACCTTCAATGTTTAGCCAACGTGTGTTTGTATGTACATAGGTGGCCTTTTTTCGCCTTGGAAAATTTCCTTGAGACGTGAATTGTTGCAGAAGATGCAATTTAATCGAGAACGACAGTAAAAACGATGATACTTTCGAAATTATGGAATAACACATGTATCACGGTTCATTTACATACAATTGTGTTTCATTCAATGTTAAACGAATTAAATTGATATAATACTTATTGTATACAAGTGTTAACACAGAAAAATAAGACGAAATTTTCATAAAGTGGAAATAACGATTTTCAAACTGTCTGTAAATAAATTCTAATCACAATTAAGAATGTTATTTTGTTTTTTATTTTGTAGTTTTAGAAAAATAAAACAAAATACAAATTGATTTGTCTAGGATTTTCTCGGTTTACATTTCCGGTATTAGGGTATGTATTTAAAATCAAAATAACAAAGGYTGAGATTTTATAGTACATRTTTTGCGAAATAACTTAAATTTTTCTGAATTCTGTTTTAAAAATTTTTGATAAATCTAAAATATGGTCTTTTCTGCGAAAGCACTGAAAAGTCACTRACAAAAAAATAATAATTTAAAAATAAATACAACTCAGATAGTTATTGTTTGATTTTCGATTTTTTTACTAAACGTATTGACATATGGGATGAAAAAAATTTATTTTGCGGACCGACTAAAATATCACATTGTAGATCTAGGAATATMTGTACGTTTTAATAATTTTGTGAAATATATGGTGAAATATAAAATGATTTTTGAGAAAAATCAAAACCAATCGCAAAACTTCCACCCGTAACAGGAAAAGACTTTTCTCCCTTGTAATACAAATAACTACATCTACGATGTAATGAATGTCATGTCGATTTCAATCAAAAAAATTACCAAAACTGAAGTTTTTGAAAAAAAGTTTAAAAAAGCATTGTAAAGTTAACAAAAAATTAAATACGGTCATTATATACACCAAACTTTTTTTTAAATTTTGTAAATTGCGACAAAACTGTAAKTCAATATGTAAAATGTTCCGGGGAATCGATTGGCGTCAAGAAAACTGCAAAATTCGTAATAGTTTTGAAGTTATAGTCGAATTTATATTTTTGATATTTTTGAATTTATCAGAAAATTTCTCGATAATTATTTATCGTAGAACTTTGATCTTTTTTGTGTATAATAGGAAATGAAATTTTCTTTCCAACGGTACCAAACATAAGAGGTTATCACCAATAAGCCCCGAGTTATTGGCAACAGACCGCTCCGGGTGCCAAAAATCACCAAAATTTCGACAAAAATCAAAAAAAATTTCAACTTTAAAATTCTTCCATATAACATTTTTTACATTTTTAGAGGTCTTAAAGACTCAAAAAAGGGCATAATACGTTATTCGGTCAAGTTTAAAAATTTGGAATTTTTTGAGTTTTTGAAGGTGAACGTAAAATCGTAAAAATAGTAAATTTACCTTAACTCGTAAAAACGTTTAAAAAATGGTTTTCTAGACCTAAAATTACTCGCTGAACACGATTCAACTAGTTAGAATACTCTACGATGCATAGTTTTTGAGATATTGAGTAATAAAGTTAAGAATAAGGCTATAAGCAAAAATTCTGGTTTTGCAGTTTAAACCCAAATAACTCGAGAACGGTATATTTTGACGATATGAAACAAGAGTACCTTTTTTATGAAAAAATGATCGGGCTTTCAAGTTTTAGTATCAAAAATGGGGATTAATAAGCCGAAAAAAAGTTATGACTCAAAAACTGGAAGGGCCCCATTGTCACCTTTTATGTATAAGATTTTCTTTTAAATCATATCAAAGAGTGTCTTTTTGTTCCTTAACATGCAAAGTTTCATAATAATCGAATAAACGATAATAATTGGAATAATTAGAATTCCAATTAATGTTCTTGTTCAATTAATTGATGTGTTTCAGTAAAATATTCTCCAAAAACCATTTTTCATACCGATTTTTTCTATTTTTTGAGGTGGGTCAATAAATACTSTGTTCTRATTTGTAGAAGCGTATTCGTGGTTAAAATTATGCCACATCTTTTTTAAATTTTAACTTTAGATTTTTWATACTGTCAAATWATTGTTTCAATTCAATTCAATTAACAGGCAGGTTCTGTGACAAATCTTAGCTGAACCAGMCTGTATTATAGCAGTGAATTGAGAATAACATTTAAGACACAGAAATAAGGTCATTAATGTTTGTGTTCCATCTTGTTTTTCGAGCAACTGCTTGACAGTTGGCACAAATACCAAACATTTATATGCACATGTGTATAAAATGACATTTGAAAAAAATAAATACACAAACAGTGCAAAGTTTGGGTAACGACCTGTATCAAACTCCTTGAAACTTGTCTATTTTTACTCATTCGTATTTTTTATCTCTTATTTATTTTAATTGTGGGAATACAACTCTTAACAAATAACATTCATTATTTCAAAGGCCGTTGACTGGTGGTCCGTGGGCGTCCTAACTTACGAATTATTGACTGGAGCTTCCCCTTTCACTGTCGAGGGTGAAAAGAACACTCAACAAGAAATCTCCAGACGAATCCTAAAAACTACTCCACCGATACCTGATTGTAAGTCTTCTTGAGTCCTTGAGATGTTCGATTTCTAATCACAATTTTCAGCATTAGGAAAAGAAGTAGCCGATTTTATTAGTAAATTATTAGTCAAGGATCCACGAAAACGGCTTGGTGGTGGTGAAGGAGACGCCAAAGAACTGAAAAAACACGTCTTCTTCAAAAATTTAGACTGGGAGAAGTTGGCTAGGAAAGAGATTCCTGCACCTTTCAAACCAGTCATTAGGTAACACAAATGCTCGAATTTTGTCTAATTTTTCTCAAATAATCGTTTTTTAGAAGCGAATTAGATGTGTCGAATTTTAGCGAAGAATTTACTCAAATGCCTCCAACTGATTCACCCGCTGTTGTACCTCCAAATTACGATAAAATCTTCAAAGGGTATTCATACGTGGCGCCCTCTGTCCTATTCACCAAAAACGCCATCTCAGACGAGATTTTAAAACCGGCCAAACAGCACGATAGTACAAAACTGATTAATTGCAAAATAAACAATTCGCAATTCTTCCAAACCTACGATATTGACCTAAACCAACCCATTTTGGGCGATGGTACATTTTCGGTATGTCGAAAATGRGTCAATTTACAAACMGGTAAAGAATACGCCGTTAAAATAGTCAGTAGAAAAAAGGATTGCTCACAGGAGATAAATTTATTGCGAGCTTGTCAAGGCCACCCCAATATTGTGACCCTTCACGATGTTATCCAAGACGAAGCACACACTTATCTCGTGTTGGAGTACCTCAAAGGTGGCGAATTATTCGAACGCATCCGAAAAAAATCGAAATTTACCGAATCTGAAGCCTCGGGGATTTTACGCAAATTGGTATCGGCTGTGAGTTTCATGCATTCGTGTGGCGTCGTCCACCGAGACTTAAAACCGGAAAATCTCGTCTTTACCGACGATTCCGACAATGCGGAAATCAAAGTAATCGATTTTGGGTTTGCAAGACTGAAACAAGAGAAGGAGTCGTTGCATACGCCCTGTTTCACCCTTCATTATGCAGCCCCCGAGGTGTTGAAAGGGGCCCCCGAGGGGTACGACGAAAACTGTGATTTGTGGAGTCTCGGGGTGATCCTCTATACAATGCTTTGCGGGAAAGCCCCCTTCCATGCCCGCTCTCGCGAGGAGAACGTCTCCTCGATCATGGAACGYATTAAAGGGGGCGATTTTAATTTTACTTCAACGGCGTGGAATGGGGTTAGTAATGAGGCSAAGTCGGTGGTGAGGGGGCTGCTTACGGTCAATCCGAGTCAAAGACTACGCATGAGCCACCTCGAGAGTAATRCATGGGTGCAAGGAAGCCAGAATTTTGTCTCAACGCCATTGATGACTCCTGATGTGCTTCWYGAGGCAGCCCCCGAYAAGAGTCTCCAAACGACATTCAATGCCTTCCATAAGGCCCAACGTGAGGGCTTCCGCCTCCAGGATGTCTTCAGCGCGAAATTGGCTCAAAGGAGAAGAATGAAGAAGAGTTCTTCTGATAATAATAGCACCTCCTCGTCGAGTTTCACCAGTGAAGGCTCTCTAAAAAGCGGACCAAAATTGTCTATCGATGTCAAAAAGACTGATAAAGTCAATGTGTTTAATTTTGGGGAGAATCGCGTGACTGAGTTTTTGGAGACGATGAGTGCGAATCCCTTGGATCCTGAGACCTCGTTTAGGGAATCGACTAGTTCCAGCGGGATTGTCATGTCTGATAAAAATTCAATCGATACGAAAGTGGTGAAGAAAAGACAGAAGAAGGTTTATGTGCAGACGAGATGGAGTGAGCGAATTAGAAGAAGACAAAGACAGGAGATTGARTTAGACCCAATTCCGTTAAAACCCAACAGGAAGCGGAAAGTTGATGAGAGAGAGGAGAGTATAGAGTCGTCGTCGAGTTGGAAGAGGAAAAAAACGACAGTTAGGAAATCAAAGAAAGGCAAGAAAGGTAGATAAATTTATTAGGTGTGATCTGTCAAAAGACATTAACGGTGACCCAAAGCTCGGTGTATATAGTGAGATGCAATAATGGAGAAAAGCGGGGCTTGGGGGCTCACCGGTTTTGCGATTGTGATAAAATGTTAACCTTAAAATGATGATGAATTCGGATTGATGATCACATTTACGTTAAGTTCCATTTAGGTAATAAATCATTATCATTAAGTGCACTTCTTAGGCTGAATCTTTAATTCATTAAATACCAAAAAGTTGTAAATAAAATTATATAAATTTTAAGATGTTCTACTCTGTGTAATAACGGTTTTATAAGAAATTTTATTATAGAAATTGCAATTAGAATGTTGGAATATTGGAATCGTTTTATGTATAATTTGCATTTTTGAAAATCTTTGATCCGAGTAAAATGAACGTTTTATTGAACATGACTTAGTGTTGTGTCTCGTGTTATCATTATTTATTTTCATTCTATTTATTCTTCCTGTTACCTAACTATGAAACACTTGTTTAAAGTTTATTGTTATTGTTATGTATAATATGCAAACACTTCAAGCTGAATGGATCATTGTGAAAATGTGTTTCTAGCATTCAATTACCTGGTCTATATTTAGTCAATATTGTTAGTTATGGGTTATATTGTAAGTTGATCCAATTGATTATTTACAATTTTTGCACTCAGGTACCGTTCTTTATTATTACAAATCACTAATTTGTAGTATTTTCATTACTTATTTATAGAAAGTATTTGTTTTAAATTATCTCACTATTTTTTAAATAATTTTCTTTTGCATAAATACATATGATTATGTAACGCAAAGTGTATATTCATAGGAAATGATGGAGACCAAGTGGACAGTGCCTTTCCTCTTTTCAGAGGCTGTCATGCTTGAAGGCAAAATTTATATTACTGTAACATGCCTTAATTATGTTAGTATTAAATATTTTGATTCTTTACAAGAGTTTTATTAAAAATGCACCTCATTTATATTTAATTAAAAAAAAAAAATTTAATTCAAGACTAAAGTAATCCGAATTAAGTTGTCAGTTACTTTACATTTCCACTCGTCTTCTACGAATTTTTAAAGTGAATTTGAGAAATAAAGTTTTTATCTAAAACACAATTAATTTCTATTATTAATAATTTAATAAATACTTACTGTTGCACTCAAAAATCACAAATTCACACACTTTACTTTGCAATAAACAAAAAAATTAAAAATTAAGTGCACTGACCTTTGTGGCGCTTCTTCTGCTACCTTCTACTTCTTAAACGGACCTACTGAAAATAAAGAAACGCAAAATCAGTTTAATGTGTCATTAAATTAGTTGAAAATATTAAATGAAATTTTAAAAGTGTAAGTTTTTAAAAAAATTAAACAGTATTGTTGACTTACCCTTTAATCCGGACCCTTCTGGCACGATTATCTTCCCCATTGGCACTCACTAATAACTAGAAATTTAAAAAATCGCGCACTATTAAATTAAATGTCTATTAGGCACTCGAAAATACACCACACACACTTTCTGTGTTACACAGTTTCGCACTAAACCACCAAATATGTAATAATTTATCCGGACAATTATTACAATTCAAGTAACTCGTACAGGAGCTCGGCTAAGACTGACTCGTTATTCTAATAATTCCCTCAAAAAACGGCAAGATTCACAAAAACCCATTTTGTAACAGTTTTGTTGGCGGGATTGCGTAATCCCGCCATTTGCAACATCACAAAGTAATTCGATTATTATACAATTTCACCTTCACCATTTTTTGCGCCCTTTACAGTCAAAAATGTGTAAAATATGCTAGTGCACAGTAATCAATACACAAGAGTATTTTTTTGTTAAATTCTAATTAAATTACTTCTTTTTTTTTCTTTAACTTAAAGGTGTTCAGGCATTTGCTTATGTCACCAACTACCAATAAATAACTTATATTGGTTTATTCTCGTGATTTTTAGGGAAATTTTTCAAAATAAGTTAGTTTCTAGTTAAATAAACAAACTAAATTGGGCGAATCAGGCGAAAATAACGTCAATTTTTAGATTTTTCTTCATGTTTTAGTGAGTTCTCGCAAATAATTTAGTTTTTTTTAATCTCTAAAATGTACGTAGACGTTCCAAAAAAACCTTTTTTCATTTTATTTGTTGATTTTTCATCTTATTTTTTTTAGTTCGGGAAAAAAGTTTTTAGCTCAATATGTGTTCGAAAAACGACAAAAATAACACAATTTTTGACACATTTTATTAACGTTATTTTAGTTTTTTTTACAAAATGTCATTTTTTGCGTGTTTGGTGATTTTTTCGATGGTGTAGCGACAAAATTTACAAACGTGTTTATAAAGACTTGAAAATGGTAAAGAAACACCATTTTTTGCCTTATTTAAAAAGAAAATTGCGTTTCTGGCAGTAAATCTTAATAAAACGCTCAAAAAAGCAAAAATTATCGTTTTTTTTATAACCTAAAGTGTAAAACATCCAGAATGCTGTAACTAAATGTAGGTAATGCAAATGTTTGACCGAATTTTTAAAATTTAATGTTTAATTTTAAAAGAAATGAGCAAAAACAAATCTTTCATCTCTTGCTTTTTCCCGTTCAAATTCACTTTGAAAAAGACGATAAAAATTGTTTAAAAGCTAAGTAGTGCAACCACACAGAAAGCGTTTTCGAAAAATCAAAATTTTCTGATAACATCTTTTCAATTAGAATTACAGTTATCTGTAAGTTCTTTAAAAGAAATCGTTAGCTTATTTCTAGAGCGCCCTCTCTTGTAGAGTAGTATTAATAAGTTACAATCGTAAATAACAATCTGTCCTATGTCTAATATTGTTGAGCTACCACCTATACAAGATAGAGGACACCACCATCATTGAACTATTCAATTTTTTTAGATTAGTTGTTTCTTATCAAAATTATTAAAATTTTCTTAAATATCACTGTACAGATTTTAAAATGTCAAAAAATTATGCTTTCACAAAGATAATTTATTATCACAGTGAAATCAGTCGCTTTTTCAGACAATAAAATAATTTATTATTTTTTTCTACGTACAGCTGCATTTAAAAAAAAACGGCAAATGAAAATTTTCCAAATGTAAATTCGGTTCTAGTTGTCAATTGTCAACTTGACAAAAATATTTCTATCAATCTCATTAAATTTATACCAACTTGTGTAATGCCTCACCTGAAAAATGGTAGGAAAATTATGAATTTAGCGGCAGAATTTAGAGTGCTATCAAAATATTTTAACCTATTTTTAATAAAACACGTTCACACCACGGAAAAATTTAAAAAAAGAATTGTAAATTGTTTTGACATTTCCCGTTTTTTTTTTAATGTAGCCTGTACCTACCTCATAATATGTTTAAATTAATGTACTGTAAATTCATATAAATTTTAAACTATTAGAACTAAAGTTTGTTTTTTACTGTAACTTCATATAATTGTTTATGTTTTTGGCAATTTACAGCATTATTTTCAATCGATTTGGCTAAATTTTAAGTTGGGAATCAACCAAATACTGGCTTGAGTAAGAATTTTCTTTSCAAATAAAGCAATTTGAGCTATATTGTTGTTAAATCGAGRGAATGTCAAATGTAAATAAACATTACTCAGCTGCTAGAATCAATTTTCTAATTTTTCCGAATTCTAAAAAATGCAAACGCAAATCTCTGGCAGTTCACTTTTTTATTGTACATACAGGATGCGCCAGAACTAGCGCCCCAGAGAAAAATGCCATATAAGGTAAGACACCAGGAATATGGAAAAAAATGTTAAAAAAAATTATCTATAAAAATTTCGAAATTGCACTTTGACTCTATTTATTTCTGTTAGAAAAATAATTTTCCAAGTTTTTTTGCTGCAGGTTATTAGAAGAGGAAACAAGAAAGCTGTCCTAAATTGTAACTCTGCTTAATGTTATTTGTGGCTTTTATTGATAAAATAATTACTAAATAATTGTAAAAAAACATATGCAAGATCATCATTATCATTAAATAGACATAAAAAAATGAAAAATGTCAAGATTTTTTGAAAGAGAATTTTTTAAACATTTTTTTTCATGTACCTGGTATCTTATCATACATGAAATTTTTCTTTGGTGCGCGAGTTCTGGTACAGCCCTGTATAATAGATAGGTTGTATGCTTTGCTATTCAAAAATTAATTTTACTACAAGAAATACTAAAATATACAGTATGTCCCCGGATTGAGTTTACAAGAGGAAGAAATTTTTTATCTTTGATTTTACGCCAAACGAAAAACATTTTTTGATTCACCTGAGTGCGCGAGTTCTGGCGCAGCCTGTATAAAGCACCTATGTGGAAACTACCCTATAAATCAGTGTTGGCGGAGAATTTCTTATTATAGGACAGGGAAAATTTACAGTTTGACTCGTAAGTAAGGAGCTAATTGCTATGCCAAGTACGCGACAGTCAGGTACCTCTGGCGCCTTATAGTCGCAAGGAAACAATACAAGTCGAGACGTGACATATAGAATAATACTTTTCATCCTACCTGTCTGCAATGACTAGTATTTGCTTTTATGCATTCTGTCATGGCTGTCACATTTGCCACAGCTAACTTCTAGTATGAGGCAATCCAACAACAACAATAAGAAATCGAAAATTATAACATTTGTCTTGGAACTAAAAACTTTTTCGGTTAAACTACACTGGCCGCCAAAATTAATTTTTCACATTGCAATATTTTTGTTATTTTTTGTCGGATTTCGACGAATTTTTGTTCGGCTTAAAGAACATTGTTATTAACTTCAATAATCCTGTAGATGTTATACCTAAAAGACAAGAGCACTGTTTTTTTCATTTTTTTTAGTGAGCTATAGTGTGCAACAGAGACAAAATTAAGTTTTTACTTATTTCAGATTATTGCCCGTTTTTTTCAAAATGAGGACCAATTTTTTTGAAAATTTTATCTTCTGATGCCCTAGAGATACAAAGCATTGAAAAAGACTTTGTTTTTCTAATGTTACTAAATATTCGTTCAAAAAGTAGGCTACATAAAAAGGTAGTTAAACCGAAAATTATTGTTTAAGTCACTAAAAATCACAATCACGTCTTTGAATACAAAAAATCTGAAAAACTAGGAACTTCAAAGGATTGCAACAAGTAAAACGGTTAATTATTGGAAACTTCCATGCGCCTATTTTGAGGTTTTGGCACATTTGGTCTACTTAATACGAACATTTATTGAAATTGGAAATGTAATGCTTTTTTTGAAGGTTTATATCTCTCATAATCTGAAATCAGTAAAAACTTAAGTTTGTTTCTYTCGCACACCACAGCTCAGTATAAAAATAAATAAAAAAACTGTGCCTTCGTTTTTTGAGTATCACATTTAAAAGACAAAACTAGAAATGTTATTGAATTAAATTACAATAATCTACAAAGTTTTTTCTTTAAGGGTGTCCGCGACCAAGGATTCGAGACGTTAGTATATTGAAAACGCCACTGCTTTTTTATACAGGCTGTATTATGAAAAACGCCCCAAGCCATAACTCRATTATTTTTAAAGTTATGACAATACTTCTTAGAACAAACTTGAACATTTTTTATCATCTATCGTTTAGGATAGATGCTAAATTAATGCTGTTTTCTGTTTCACCGGACATCACATCAACTTTATTTTTTTWAATGGAACACCCAGTATATTTTGCCACTTTTGGATTCTTTGTTTAATTGTCTTTTAACAAGTTTTAGTACCATATGCCTAAAACTAACCGTTCGTGAGATATTCACCAAATAATGTATTTATTAAAGTAGGCAGTGGAACAAGTAATGTTGACAAATATTATTCTTTTGCATTTTCTCTTACAGTTTTTATACTTTTTAATGTTAATCATGGATGATAATGTGATAACAGACATATTTTGAATAAAATAAAAATTGTGGGAGAGCACTACGCTTTTACACTGGGTGATTTCTGATGAGAGACG